TAATCGCGAGTGTGCGCTGGGTCGTTTAGAAATGCGAATTACTTTTTCACTCGATTTTAATTGGTCTTGTATATCGTATTTTTGATTAGCTTACGGGGTAGGTTTTAGTACTTCCCGCGTGTTGTGATAAATTTCCTTGGATAACAAACTAAGCGTTAATTTTATTTTTTTGTTTAACAGCGAACATACATTGGATCGTTCGAAAATGGTAATTTTTAAATTCGATTCGAAGCGCGTTTTATATTGCACTTTTTACTGCACTATAGGGTAGGTTATAGTTTCTCCTCGTGCTATGATAAATTTCCTTGGATAACAAACTAAGCGTTAATTTTATTTTTTTGTTTAACAGCGAACATACGTTGGATCGTTCGAAAATGGTAATTTTTAAATTCGATTCGAAGCGCGTTTTATATTGCACTTTTTATTGCACTACGGGGTAGGTTATAGTTTCTCCTCGTGCTATGATAAATTTCCTTGGATAACAAACTAGGCGTTAATTTTATTTTTTTGTTTAACAGCAAACATACGTTGGATCGTTCGAAAATGGTAATTTTTAAATTCGATTCGAAGCGCGTTTTATATTACACTTTTTATTACACTACGGGGTAGGTTACAGTTTCTCCTCGTGCTATGATAAATATCGTTGGACAACAAATTAAGGGTGAGTTTTATCATCAAATCATTAATTTATATATCGTATTCTTAATTACATAGTAAGGTAGGTTATAATCTAGGTCTTATGCATGTTAAACATAATATTGCATAAATTGCGAGTTTCACCTTAAGTTTAATTCCGAATATTCGCTGAGCTATTTCAAAATGTAAATTATATTTTAATTCGAACCATATTAGTCTGTATACTATATTCTTTATCGCGTAGCAGGGTAAGTTATAGTTTGAGGTACAGATTCGGATTAAATTTAATTTCGAACGCGGGCTGGTTCTATCTAAAAATCGATCTGTACATAATATTTAATATTTTGTTTACACATAGAAAAATTTCACAGGTATAGGTAACGATGCGACTCGTATATAACAATTTAAAACGCGTTTTGAAGGTAATTTACAGATTCGGAATACAGTATAAAAATGTGAAATTTGGACCGACGCGATGATCAATATTAAAGTTTGATTACGCGTTAGACTCGTTGAACTCATTACGCGAGCGTTTTCAAACGTCGGGGTAACTTGTCTTCTTCGCTTAACAGGTTAATAGGAAGTTAGGTGAATTGCGTTTACTGGGGCAGGATATCAGTTGACCTTTCTCGAGGGGAATGAATTTTTTCTCTTTCGGTGGAAGAAGAAGCTATATTAGGGGATAAAAGAGGGGAAGAAAGGCAATCAACATCGATAAAACTTGCAAAAACGTTTATCCCTAGTGTTAAATGTAACATGCCTGTAACGAAAGTTTGCTTAAACAAATTCAATCTTTCTCCGATATTTCCAGGTATATCTTCAAAATAATTTACACGACCAACTCGTTACGAAAGAAAACGAAACACGCTTCGATGTTCCAGAGACCTACTTCAAAAAATTAATCATTTCGTTTCTTTGGACTACATAATACATAATTTCTTCGACCTTCTAATATATGCTAATTAGAATACCCGCTCAATTCTCGACACGACAGAAACAAGCAATAAATTTCGTGCATCGAAAAATAATGAAAAGGTACAAACAGAATAATACAAAAACGAAGAGATACACCTACAGACAAGAGTTTAGAAACAACCTATACATCTGCGAATTTTTCCTACATTCTTCTTCCGAGATACACGCCATTTGCATAAAATTTATTATATAATTTCAAATTTATTTAAATTTACATTAATATTTAATATATATTTCTCCCGAATATTTTATAGAAAGTCTATTCTTAATTTCAATCCGGGTGTCTCGGAAGACAAAAGACATGGAAAAATTCGCGTTCCATTTCACGATGGCTGTTGGTAAACATAAACGCGAAAGTACGTCGACCACTTTGCAATTTCTATAAACACGAGGAACTCTGGTGGAGAAAAATTGTATCGAAGGACAAGAGAGCAGGGACATGGTCGAAAGTGGAGGAATTCCGGAACGAAATTAGACATCGGTACGGTACCGTTGGTCTAAAGTTTCCCGCGGTAAGGGACAGCGCCAAGGACACGTCGGTGCAAAGGATGCTCAAGAATGGCATGGCGAATTTCGGTACAGTCAGCGATCTCCAGCTGCCGAAATTCGAACGAGCGAACGACCGAGGCGTTCGATCTCCGCGCAGAGGATGCCCGTGTCCTTCGCATGGAGGAGCGAATCGAAAGCGAAACGAAGGAAATAAAGGTGGCGAGAGGAAACGACGCGCGGGAGGATGGCCAGGGTACGAAAATTCCAGCGAAAAAAGAGCGCCGTCCGGAGCGCTGTAGTTCCGAAAAATCTCGCCGGATAAAGTTTCGCGTGTAAGGACAACGTCGAGGATACGGACGCGCAAGGATTCCTGTGCCATGCGCGAGTCTCTCCGTCTTGCTCTCTCTCGCGGTGAACGCACGGAAAGCAAGAGGACGACGAAGAAGAAGTAGAAGCACGGATAAAGACGGGGCTGCGCGGGAAGAGGGCACCGAAGAAGAGGAGGAAGACGCGATCGTGGCTGTTGAAGGAACGAGGACGGAAATGGAATGGAAGAAACGTGGGACGAGGACGGAAGATATTCGGCGTCCCGCAGGATACGTCGTCCTTTTAGACGAGGGGCAACAGAGACGTAGTCGGCCCTGGGCACGGAGAGCGAGGAGAAGCGGAGGAACGATGGACTGTAACAGAAGTGCGGAGGGGTAAGGAAGGCCTGGTGGGGGCAAGAAGCGCTCGACGTCTCAAATTTGGTTGGCTGTCTCGAGTTGTTCTTCTCTCCGTCGCGCGCGTCCTTTTCGCCTTCTTTCTCTCTCGCTCGTCTATGAGCTACGTGGCCGAGGGAAGGGGCCTTTGGTCGAAGGTGCTAGGTGGGAAAGGGAGGATGCGGCGAGAGGGACAAGGAGGGACAGGCATCGGAGAAACGTCGGCGAGAAAAGGAAGGTAGGAGACTGTCGCGAGCGGGAGAAGGACGGGCGGTAGGATTGAACGGAGAAAGGCGTTATTCTAGTAAACCCAAGACGGGAAGGGTGGGAGACGGTCGGGACAGAGAGAGAAGATGTTAGGTGGAAGAGAGAGACGACGATGGGTCGAGTAATATTAAGAAGGAAGAAGGAGGGAAACGGCGGACGCGGGAGGGAGAGAGAAGAGGAGATAGAAAAGAGAGAAGGGCATTTGGTCGGCGATAGCCAGGAGGAAGAAGAGAGGGGAAGAAGTCGGTGCGGAGGAGAGAGAGCGCGGATGGTTAGAAAGAGCCGGTACGTGAGCTAGCAAGTGACGGCATAGAGGGGGCGGCAGAGAAGGCTTGGAAGGTAGGGGGAGAGCAGTGCCTTGGCGCGAGCCCGAGGACTCGAAACTCCGGAATTCCAACCGACAGAACAGTGCCGGCGGTCGTACGACGCGGGTCTAGAGAGTGTGTGAATAGGATAGAGCGAGAGAGAGCGAGCAAAGGAGCGAGCGCGCCGGAAGGAGGGGCGAGGAGGAAGTGGGAGGGAGAGGGACACGAGGTTGAGGACGATCGCTAGCTATTTACAATCGCAGTTGGAAGGATAAACCGCTCGTCTCGTGCCCGCGTCGTCGTATTACACGGTTCCACGTTCCCATTTTGCCGATTACGAGGAATTTCGATCGGACGAGAGATCATCGGGCTCTCGATCATCCTCCGCGCGGTGGATCCATCGTGAGCGTGTAGGAGGTGGAGGAGGAGGTGGAGGAGGAGGAGGAGGTGGTGGTGCCGGACCGCAGAGAGCCTGAATCGAGAGAGGAGAGTCGATCGTGTGCCGTTGTGGACGAGCTCTCGTTCGCGTGGACAGTGACGGGGATAATATGGACACGTTATTATCAGTGAAGCAAGTGAAAAGTGATAGATGGTGGTGAGCACCGATGGTTCGGAAACGAGGAGTTTCGGTTATCGTGGGACCGCGTGAATTCGACTTGGACTCGAGGAGTCCGCTGATAATAATCGAAGGAACGGGAACGAGTGACCGAGAATCGGGCGATCGCGAGCCGACGATGTAAATCGCACGAGCATTACTATCGTTTGTTTTTTTTTTTTTTTTTCGTTCCGTTTACCTTGGCACGGACGGTGTGTGGTTCGGGTAATCGGTTCGGGCGAGTATAGAGAGCGGCTAAGGCTGAGTGCCGAGGATCCTGAACGTTCGGACAGAGCGTCGGCGGACGCAGACTGGAGTCGAAGGGGGAAGCCGCCGGTTGTTCGAAGCCGCGTCTTGGAGCAGCCATCGGAGCCGACACCATTGTCGTCGTCGTCGGCACATCGTCGAGGCGAGGGCGACGATGCCGCACACGGTGACACGCTCGACGTCGCACCAGGTGGAGCGATCGAGGTTGATCTGGACTTTCGTACCTGGCGTACGTGCGATCATATGATAAATGTAGAACACGCTGTACCCCGCTTTTTTTCTTTTTTTCCTTTCTTTTCTTTTCGTTCGGCCTCCCAACCTAGCAAAACCGTCCTATCCCGCAAAAGTTTGCTCGCCAGCTCACGTGACTACCGTTTCGCGCGTCTTTCGAGTCATCGTCCATGTGCTGTCCGCGAGGAAACCTGTATCGACGCTGGTCGACGCCTGAAAGGAGGGAGACGCGAGACGTTGCTAGTTGACGCGCTCCTCGTAACCACGTTACCGTTCGAGCGCCTCGTCACCAGTTCTTCCGTGCCCGTTTCTTTCGGATAGAGAAAGTGAGACGGAATACCGAAATACCGCGATACCCAGCAGGACAGACTGTTATCGGGACTTCGCGCGCGCGCGACAGCGCGTGTACGCGCGCGTGTGTGTGTGCACAGCACCGTTGATTCAGTGTAACGTGCGTGACGGATCGTCTCTCTGTCCCTCGTGTCGCACGGACAGTGCGCTGTTACCGAGAGTAACTACAGCACGCCGCGCGCG